AACATTTAAATAACAAAAATAAAAAATAAAAAGGTTTCAAGTTAAAACAAGTAAAAATAAATGGGCTAATTTTTTTTTGAGTTTTATATTATTATTCAGTCATCGGAATCAAATGATAGCACGCATCGGAAAAGTTTAATTGATCAAAAAAGCAAGAAATTATCGAAACGCTCTGCAAGTACCGTTGAAATTCATCGTTATGCAAGTAATAGCAGCGTTAACATTAAATCGATGATAATTTCTGAACAGATTGCACCATCGTTTCGTTATGTAAGAAAATGTAATCGTGATAAAGTAAGTGATAATAATGACAAGTTAAATTATAATTTAGTAAATGACAATAATGAAAGATTAAATTATAATATTATAAATATGTTGCAAAACGGATTTTGCTTAATTTTTTTTTGCATATTTTTGCATGTTCATTAAAATTTTTCATTCTTTTTTTCTAGTTTTTTATTTATTTGCTTAATTGTCCACTTTTCATCTCTTTTCTTTGCGTTGTTTGTTGTTTAAATTAAACTTTCAAGATTTATAAATGTTAGCAGCATTATTAATTATCAAATACAGTTTATTCAGTCCCGAGTATTTTTCAGTTACATCTAATACGATTTTTCTTTTTCGCTTCTCGCTCTTATTGTAATGTATCATAATTTTTAAAATCTGATTAAATTTAATCAATTTCTGCATGCTGGGAAAAACTTTACCTATGATTTATTAAGATTACTTATCATCGATTATATTACTTTATATTATTTTATTTCTGATGAAATATTTCAATGTGGCATTCCATTTTTTTACTTTAACTTTTGTTTAATATAATCAATTAATAAATGATTAAATTATTAAGAACAATATAATTTTATTTGCTGTTAAGAAATATTCTAAAAATCAGATCCAAATATTGAATAGTGCTTAGCTTGTTAACTTTTAACTTATTTGAAACTACCAGAAATGTAATTTGTAATTTTATAGTTTAACTTTCCAGCGTTAACTTTTTTGTGCCAAAAAGTATTTATGATTTTCTCAGCAATTTTTTTAAATGAAATATTATTAACTTCGAGCTGAGAAGTTTAAATTATAGATTTCAGAAAATAAAAAACAAAAAATTTAATATGTAACAATCGGATCAATGGAATTTTTCCAGTATTTGATAAAACGAAATTCTTTAAAGTAATATTTTTCCGACGTTAATTTTTGAAATACAATTTTACTATTTAATTTCAACTACTCTGAAAACATTTTTTTAATTCAATATCAAGCCGAGAAATAGTGAGATATATAATCGGTATATTTAA